TTGATACTAATCTACCAACGCAAGAGGGATGAGAGGATTCGTCAACCCGGAATCAAAGCAAAGACAACATGTGTATTTCGAAGCGCCTCCGAGTACTGCTCTACTCTAAACGCCCCTGATTTCTGCGCTGCCTTCCAATTTTTCCTAGCATTTTTGTGACCACCAGGTCTTTTCATTACAATGGCCCGGCTCCTCACACGTTACCTGTTAGAATGCCAGGTTCCTACTTAATGGAAGACGAAAAAGACTGTGTTATTATTCCAGAATGGCGACCTCAGTGATAACGACAACTATCGCCCAATCTGCTTGCTGTCTGACGTCTACAAATTTTTTCACTCGAGTCATCCTAAACAAGATTTACAGAACACTAGAAGAAGGACGACCAGGTGAGCAAGGAGGGTTTCGAAAAGTATTTAGTATGATGGACCATATCTACACGATAACAAGACTCAATGAAGTATCGCGAGAGTACAAAAGACCACTCTGTCTCACTTTCATCGATTTACAGAAGGCCTTTGGCTCAATTGAGATAGAAGCAGTCATGGAAGCCCTTGATAGTCAAGGAGTCTCTACTCAGTACATAAATATTCGTCGTGAATTGTGCAAAAATTTCGCAACCAAGATATCACCATTCTACAACGACATTAACATTGACGTCGAAAGAGGTGTTAGGAAAGGCGATACTATCTCGCCAAAATTGTTTACCTCCACTCTCCAGAATGTCATGCGAACAATGGAATGGGATAATATGGGAGCGAAAATCGATGGTCAGCAGTTACATCATCTTCGCTTTGCTGATAACATCGTTCTTATAACAGGAAACAACCAAGCGGAACGAATGCTTGCCAACTTTGATAAGGCCTGTGGAAGGATTGGTCTTCAACCAAATCTCAAAAAAACGATCTTCATGAGGAATGGACTGGTTTCGTACGGTCCATTCGCACTCAGCGGAACGAATATCTCTGAATGTTCCAGTTACATCTACCTAGGTCGGGAAATCAAAACGATATACGACTTAGCTTCAGAGTTAAGTAGAAGGAAACGAGCGGTTTGGGAAGCTTTCAAGAGCATCAAGGATGCAGTGAAAAGAACAAAGAACACCCGACTCTGTGCCCACCTTTTCGACTCAACGGTACTTCCTGCGTTAACGTATCCGTTAGAAACCTGGTCGATGCGTAAACAGGATAAAAAGTCGCTCAGCGTTATTGAATGTGCCGTCGAAAGGGCGATGCTAGGAGCATTCCGTGTCACGCAAGTAAGGGAAGGAATCCGAAGTTCCGACTTGCGTCAACGATCAAAAATCAAAGATGCCGTTCTGTACACCAAAAATCGAAGATAAAGTGGGCCGGACACGTAATGCGTATGAACGAGAACCCATGGACAAGAGCCGTTAGTGACTGGATTCCTCGAGATGTCAAATACATTGCAGGAAGACCACCGAGCCGGTGGTCAGAGTTCTTCACGAAAATCCCGTGAGAAAAGTACGACGCTTGAGGTGCCCGTTCAAGTTACTCGACGAGCAATGGGCGACGGGTGATATAGATTACGTGTGTGACAAGGTCGAGCAACTACTACGATAAGGTGGAGGAAGTGAAGATACGAACAACATCTTCCAAAGAAGAACCAATGTTGCCTATCATTTCTCAATGAAATACACTTAAACTATCTGTGCAAACATTTATATCGCAGGTACTTAATGTAGCAATTCCCACGTCGCTGTTGATCAGTAACACACTGTTTTCTTGGCGAACAATCAAGAGGTTATTAACTGCAAGACTTACTCGAGTTAAACTGATACGCTGATACGCAATCCACTCAGTCAAACACTTCCACAATACCATGTTAACGGGTACGATGTATCGCATCTCTTGTAAGATACGTTGTAGATAAATACGTTTGGGAAAACGCGTAGACCACTACGAGCCCATATAAAAGAGCAACTAGAGGGCGCGCGTAGAGCTATACAATCTACTCCAATAGGCACGCTTAGGGCACAAAGATATAACGAAAAAGGTCTCAAAGTAGTAGCCGTAATCCATGCATAGGAATCTAAAACTCTAGCTTGTAGAAGTCTTGATAAGTTCTGGATAAACTCCAGAAATCTAACACAGAGTCGCAAGGAGTGCCCTGTGAGCACGTGCGACCTCCTGCTACATCTCAGATTAATTTTTTGAACCGAGCTACGAAGATTTCCCATCCATGTAAGACTGTGTGCGGCTGTTCTGCAACAATAATTCGAGGACTTAAAAACAACAAAGTGGTGAGCGTTTGGGAAAAGTTGTTCACTATGCAAATAAAATTTGTGTACCAAGTTTTGTTTGCTGCGGTTATGATAGTGCTAGACTGAGTCAATTTCACCTTTCCAGGCTCTCAAGTAGGCGACAACGCTGGAACGTGAGCCACTGCTGTACCGAATAAACCTTACCATAAACAACCTATTGTTTGGTCACCAAGAAAACAATAGATCACATCGCTTCCACATGAACTTTCTGCTCAAGCTCTTCCCCCTTATTTCATAAACCCCTGTATACCGTATTTTCTGATGTATTTCTTCGTATGCACCGTGTCATATTTTGAAGCAGCTCTATCAAAATGTAATAACTGAGAGACTTTCCTGAATCTCTCTTTGAGCGTTAACTCTTGCTTTAACTGCAAACAGCCCACCCATCACAGTAGGCATGTAAGCATCAGCATCACTAATCATCCCTAAGTTCGCTCAAGCAGTGCTCTTAAAGTCTGCAGCCTCTCGTTTTCTTTCCTTTTCACGTAGTAGAATGTCATTCGGAACTTTCCATTAGTAAAAGCAAGATTATCGTGAATTGTACGTCATGTCTTTTCCACTTTAATCACCGATATCCTACTTATTCCCTACTGCTTGCTATAGTTGATCTTCATATTACTCTCGTAGTTTATTACATAAGCAACCTTTTCATCTTCAATGCAAATTCTTAGTCATACTTTAATTCGGCCATTGTTTCTGTTATCGTCTTGTCGCTTATACTGTCTTGCTACCGTCATATCATCACTGACGCACTGATGTCATTATGGTATACCGACGTTTAATTGTCCAAGTTTGAGGATTTCTCTATGGTAAATTCGTACGAAGTCGAGCATTCATTTCAAATTAGCGACCTTCTGGTACTGTCAGGTGTCTCGAATTACTGTATTCTACGGAGTTAGTCACCACAGGAGATGCCTAAGTTAATGGTCCTAATCTACCCGAGCTTTGTTCTGATTCAGATGCACGGGTTGATAGGGTCTATGTATTCAAGTTATCATGCTCTAGAAGATCGCGGTCGACAATCAGGGAAAGGGTGACGTTATGTTAACCGTTTTAAGAATGCCTGCCCAAATGCATCCAATGTAATAAATTTTTTGCCTACAATGTTTCAACAGTTGTTACAGAAATCACTTATTGTAGAAGTTACGTTGTAAAATTTAACTGAGCAATATAATTCTAAATGGTGGAGAACTGTGGTGGTTGTAATTCTATCGTACTACATGACCATCAGTTATATTATAATTATATGGTCGATGGGCTGGCTACCGGAGAAACACAAAAAAAACCCCGTAAAGAAAGAATGTGCGTCAAAATAAAGTACAAAAGAAAATGAGTCATATGTGACTCATACCGGAACCAATAGGTTGAAAACTTTCTCCTGATTATTCACGTACGAATATGACTTCTTACATTTTAATGCACGTCTTTCTCTTTCATTACGAAACTTGTGGCACATACCAAGCATGGGACGAAAAAATGGCGCAATCACTGCAATTTCCACTGCGGTATCGCGAACTTCCCAGTCCGAATGAGATATAGCTGAAATGGCGCATATTCGATATAGCATAGTTTCTAACAGATAAACTAAATTAAATAAAAGGAAACATTCTGGATCACAAAGGTAAACGACTTTCACCTCAACAATGTGTAAAACTTGCAATATCATGGACTGCGGCGTCAGGGTCCGAGCACCGTAAGAGATACCATTCAATAATATAGGCAAGGCTCCAGTCCAATTCCACACTGGATCACCAAAGCCTTCAACTCCCACGGAGTTAAAGAACTGCTGCCAGAATTGTTGAAGAGCTCTTTCGAATTCACAAACGCTAGCAACTCCAAGTAGTGAAGGTCAAGGAATGTCCTAGCACGGCTATCCCAAGATTCCAAGGGCAACCTGCTCACCCGTCACTTAGCAGACTTCATAAAGGAGATCAAGATCTTCAGGTAAAAGCACAACACAAACACAAATCCGAATACCATGGCGGATGATAGATGGCAGAAATCGAATAGAATGAAAGCGCCGGAATCCGAACAATATGGGTCGAAGGCTCACGCAAAATAAAATAGAAATAAATGTACTACGTTAACCTTTATTTCCTGCCTTCTGTAATTTTTATGACAGGGTATTAAGCGAAAGATAACCACGACATTGATGAGATATTTGCAAAACTCCGAACCGCAGGTGTCTACCGTGGGGAACGAATGCGCTATTGTTCTTTCCGGAGAGTAACGCGAAATTGGTTAAGCAATACCCTGCCATAAAAAATTAAGAAAGCAGAAAATAAAAAGTAAACATTGTGAATTCAACTACAGCCCCAGCTTAACTGGGTTCAATGCCGATGTGGACTCCCCAGATCAATCCCGTTGACGGGTGATTGCTGACGGCACTAATCGATAGAACTAGATGAGAGACAGGCGAAACGAAGAACCCGCATGGTGTGGTGGTGAACGCGCTACTCCCCGGAAAAGACAATAGCGCGTTCGTTCCCCACCGCAGACACCTGCGGTCCGGAGTTTTGCAAATAACTCAGCAATCTTGTAAACGTACTACACTACACCTGTCGGCATGGTTAAAGCGAATGAGAGAGCAGAATCCTCTTGTGCCAAATTCTTTACGAAAGATATTTGCAGCCTGCGTTTATTACTAGCTGTATGATGTTTTACAGCTTTAGACTCCTTTGATCAGCTGCTTGTAGCCCTTGGTCTCACCCTCCCCGAGTTAGCCCTTGTAGATAGGTTTCCTGGTTTGGAAATTGGCTTTTCTAGGACGGCTACAATTAATGTTCTTAGTTGTATGGAATTGTGGAACCCAGTTACCAAGGTCGTACTTCAAAAATGAAACTTCAGCTTCGTTTCCCGGTTCAATATTCAGGAACCCAGCCAAGATAAAGCAACATAACACTGGAATTGAGCATGCCAATTGATAGAAAATGAGTAACGCTACATTTTTTTTACGCCTTGTAGGTTAATAAAAAAGAGTTCAAACCTTTGTGGACTTCTACAGCAAGCCTATCACGGATAACGGTCATAGCTGCATGGCTTAAGCAATCAGCACCGTGCACCTTGCAGACGGCTTCTATTAGGGAAGGAGATTCCTCAATACGAATTGGTTAAGAATGTAAAGGAATAAAACTGTAGAAGTAGATGTACGTCAGGAGAACGTATGAGCTAACAAGAAACAAGAATAACATTTACTATGATGCAACTGGTGGAAAATTTTCTAATTGGATCAGCTAATCGACTAAATAAATTAAATTGGCTTTAAAAAACATCTTACCAATAATCTTGAGAAACAACAGTCCAGTACCGCAGATATCTCACTAAGAGTGAGACGAGCGGATAATTTCGATAACATTAACTGCAGGTCTGACAGCGGTGAACGACGTCGATCCATTAAAATCTGATGGACTCCTGGAAGATACTCGCGGAGCGCCTAGAACGTTCACCCGTTTAGAACATTTTGATATAGTACGTAATAATGCTTAATAAACTTCAAAGCAATAATTGTCTTTTTTTTGGTGGAGTACTATGAGTGCCAAGAATCTCAACTGTACTACCAAATCGAAATGGAACAACGCTCTAGTGCGGCAACTCCCTATGGTGGCGACGATTTGAGGAGACTTTGCCTAGGCTGACTTCGCGACTTTAGGGAATCACAGTGGCTAAAGAAGCAGAACTCCGACAAAGCGGAGATTATGCTGGGGCCCGCACAAACAGTGAAGACGAGCCATGCAAGTATCCAAGTAAGAGGTCTAAGGCATCACTCGAAATAAAACCAAGCAAAGGATCACTACAACACATAAAGTAGCGATATCGTCTTCTAGCGATAGGAGCTGTCGATTGCCTTGGATACGATGTAAAGAGGTTTTAGAAATAATAACTCAGAACTTCATTGAAAAGCACTCATGGCCACCTTTAACATGCCAGCAGAGAAGGAAGGCTTCAGAGCATTTGACTGCATTTGCATCCACATAGGAACCCACTAATCACTACTAACAACGAATGGTAAAACAAATCAAGGAATGGAAGAAGTTCCGAGGTTAGCTCCACCCATGAGGATTACCGATCCAAGAATCTATGTATTAGGTGCTGAGATTTCTAAGCACTTAAACGCAGCGACATTAAATGTACAACTTTAGGTACAACCCAAAATACTGAAATGTGCAAATATGCTAAAACATAACCGAATACCGACATTGCGATATAAGTATAACAAGAAATGTCGTACCTTGTCATCTAGTAGCTCGATTACATCAACGAACCACCCCAACTTCATACACGGAGACAGAAATACAGAAGCAAGCAGGTCTACATCGTGACACCTAAAAATAGGCTTATAAATGAATCTTACATAACAAACAAAAATCTCCCTTGTCAAAAGGCTAAAGAAAAGAACAATTGAAGAATTTAAAACCAGAGTGAATAACAAAAAATAGGAAGCAGCAAGTCAGGCCTCGTTGGAAACAAAAGAGTTGATGAAATGTTCAAAGACAAACTTCAAGATTACCTTTTTAGCGAACAATTTTCCGAGTCTGCTATACTATGATCACACTTGAACACTTGAACCGCCCGCCCTCACTGGTTGTGCGGACCCTAGCATAGTTTCCACTTTTTCGTAGTTTTCCTGATTTAGCCATTGTGGTTCCCTGGAGACCTGTGGTCAGGTTGGCAAAAGTCTGCCCTGGGTTGTCAGGAGATTTGCCATCATGTGACTAGTTTGATACCAAGATGGTGGTGGATCTTGGTTTGGTTAACTCTTTGCTGTGCTTCTTAATGAAAACTCCGGACTCCTTTTCATCTTCGGAGACCCTGATGGGACGACGAATCCTGCACATCGAAGCCCGACAGCCAGGAACAACTCCTAACCACTATGGGGGCAGTAAACCGTTGGAAGTACGATCACACTATGTTTAAGAGATGAGCTTATAGAAAGGTTTGTGACTACAACGACATGTGAATTTGACGCATCATACTAAATTGCTGCCATCTGGTTCTTTCGAAAAATGTCAAACTCGCTCCCAAAACCACCTATCCCAACATGGCTATGTGTTTCCTCAACGTTATCACTTTCCAGTTCTCATATTTTTTAGATTGTCCACTAAAACGAAATTGGTATTGATTAGCCATACTTACCTTGTTGACTGCTGCAAATGTTTTATGATCAATTGACACCTCGCTGATTCATCCTTCCATTTGCTAGGCGAAAGATCACCCACCAACTCCATGTCCGGTCTTCACAAGAAATGAAAGGAAAAGCCATGTAAAATAGTAATGCCGAAGCTCGGAAAAGTTTTTGAAATGTTATTGTGCTTTACGACTAAAAAAAATTCAGTAATAATGACACATACTGCACTTTTGCAGCCAACCCGTAGACGACATCACCAGCCATACCGATCGACTGCACGGTACTTATAATAACTCGAATCTGGTCACCGCTCAAGTGATCAGCAAAATGCATTAGCACACGAGCGGCATCGTTCCTCACATGAGTGGAGTCCTAAAATGGGACAATGAGTCGATTAAACTAAAACATTTTGTCTGTTTTCCTGCGAAGTATTTCCTTGAAACTTGAATGGAAGGAAGGTATAGACTCCAGTGCAATCTCGGTTTGATTGATAAGTTTCTGTAAAGTCAAAATTTCTAGGAACCTAAGAGAGCCGTGATAGCTGTTTATTATGTAGTCAGCACAGCTACTAAGTCCGTTGTTCCAAGCTGCTTCGAAGATGACGAGAAATCCTTGGATGAGTTCACCCCTAGCTGGACTTCGTGGTGGCAGCACAGAAAACCCTCCCTGACTGATGATCTCTTGCTATAAATCGCAATCCAACAACTACACTAAAACGAATCGGTGAAGTATCAAAGTCGACTACTACTAATATCATCTTGAATTCACACTTATCGTAACCAACGAGCATAAAACTCTGATAAAGTGCACCTTTTATTCAAAGACGGAAGGAAAGGTATATTCACAGTCAATGCGGCAGTTTTAGATAAAATGCTCACCGTGCGAGAAAACAATTCCACGACGGTTAGCAGAAACAGCTGCACTTCCTCATTGTCTTTCGTCAGACATAGAAAATCACTAATTTGACGTCGGATGAAGATACTGACACCTTCATTAGGCAGAAATGAAACAGACCAAAGAATTACGCCTGGAAAAATCACAAATTGTAAACAAAAAAATTAAAAATGAACTATCCTTATGGCAGATGAAAATACTAACTTTTCCATTCGCCTTTTTGTCTGAAGCGATAACATGATGTATACAGTGCAAAAAGGTCGGAGAGCACTTTAGCCGGTCGATTTTGTTGCAGTAGTACTTCAGTACGCTCCAACTGCCTAGCAATGTTCATTCCACCATCACTGAGAGACTGACAGTATTTCGAATAAAGACGGATCAGTAGAGAGATAGTCACAGAAGCATCAGTTTCGAAGTTTATGGATGAGAAGCTCTTCTTAACGAAATCATTTAGTCGACAGTCTGAAAAGTGGAGGATTTGAAAAATAAATATTTTGATGAAAAGAATGCCAGGAAGAACCCCCTCCAACAGAACTCAACGGTATCCATAAAGAAAGCGGAAATCGTTAAGCGGCAGGAACTGGGGTATTGTTTATGCGATTCTTAACTTCTAGTAAATTCCTACATATTTGAGAATCTGCCTCGTCGTTTAAAAATCTACATGCCGGGTGTGAACTTGTATTTAATCCTGGAGTTGACTCACTGAATGAGGTGAGAGTGATTTTTGAAGATTCGAAGGTTGTGAAACAACCACAATGACGCTGAGATATTTGCAAAACTCCGGACCGCAGGTGTCTATGGTGGGGAACGAACGCACTATTGTCCTTTCCGTGGAGTAACGCGTTCACTACCGCACTATGCGGGTCCTTCATTTCGCCTGTCTCTCAGCTAGTTCTATCGATCTTTTTGTCATCAGCAATCACCCGTCAACGGGATTGATCTGGTGACCCCAAATCGGCATTGAACTCAGTTAAGCTGAGGTTGTAGTTGAAATTCACAACGTTGACTTTTGTACTTACTACCTTTTTCTATATATTCCATATTCTTATATTTTTATATATTATATATTTTTATTTTTATTTTCTATTCGGAGGTTGAACTGAACTGAACCGTTTTACTTAATTAGTGATTAGTCTAAACGAGGTTGCTGGAAATCTTTGTCATCGCCAAGGTTACGACGGTTTCTTCAGAGTCGTGGTTATTCGAGTCGAATGTCCACAGCAGTTGTTTCTTCGTCGGTCTTCGTAGTCGTCGTCACAGCGAGTCAAATCGAGTAAAGTAGAGCACTCACGAATGATGCAGCGTCATCCAGCACTAGCCTTTTATACACGACGGCAGTTTTCCAGGAAAAAGGACTGCTCTTGATCGATTACCAATTGAAATTAAAGTGATACCAATGCAGACCATCACTGAATTTCTGTTTGGATCCGTCTCTGAAGGAGGTGAAACTACTGTAACGTTAGCCACAGTAAGGGAGAAGCCGATAATGACGTTATTTAAGTGAACTGTTTTCTAATGCAAAGAAAACCCATTGCAGTCAACGGCTCGGTTATGTCTGCAGATAAAGAAAACAACAAGAAAGAACGTCACGGACTAAATTAACTACACGGATCAGTGGGAAATTCTTTGTGAGCAGGATATAATATTTGAATACTTGAATGGACCGCCTTCAAGGGTTGTATAGGCTCTGAAACGTCTTCTATTTGTACTGCTCCCTTGCGATAATCGTCCAAATAGCGTCTGTTTCCAGCACAGTGAAGTCTTCAAGTATCGTTTGATGGATTACTAACTATCCGGAATAAATGAGTTGGTTCCCATGAGCTAAAAACGTTACTAGGTCTTAATAAATCGGATGTAGAGTTAGTTCATAAAAAACCCATGGTGACAAGGTGGGCAGATCGGAGATAGTTCTCTGATTAGAGAGAGCAACTCGTACACTGTATGACCGACGTTCAGTGGGCATGGAGAAGTTGAACGGAAGCAGGAGAGTAGCATGAGCCACATTGGAGCCTCCCAAAGAAGCCACCAACAAACTGACGGTTCCGCAACTCCGGTCTCACCTTTTCGACTTAGTTGTCCTCCTTGTACCGCGTTAACCAGCAAAGACGTGGTAATAGCGCGTTCGTTTCCCACCGCAGACACCTGCGGTCCGGAGTTTTACAAATATTTCAGCATCATTGTAGTTGTAACACATATAATACGCTGCCGTGAAAAAATGATAGGCAGTAAGCAAGAAGTTATACGTTGCAAGGTCAATCAGTTTTATTTGCAGTTGCAGATAATTTACAGGTTACGGTTGACGCTCTTATACGTTACCATAGTCGAATCAAACCACCACTCGAAGGACGACAAACTTTAGGCAACAAAACTAAATTGATGCGCTGTGGTCCGCATAACTCGTGATGACAGACATTCCAAGTATCAAGTATATATGTATTCCTAAAGTCACAGGGTCACGTCTCTTCCACTTCTCGAATCAAGTGTTGTTATCGAAAACTGTTGATTACAAACACGTTCACGAATGTGAGAAAGTGAGTTATATATGACTAACACCATCAAAGGTCTGGGGTAATACAAAGGACAAAAGACAAAGCTCTCAGCGTTGATCAATCAGTGAGCGATGCGCCATGCATTCCATTTCATCAAGCATCGTTGGAGATGACTGAATGCTTATCCGGCTTTTACAATGACTCGCGGTAGTCTACCGATCTATCGAGCCAGTGCTACTACCCTCAAAGACATAACTGGTACCAATTTGCCGACCCCGGTGGGACGGAAGACTTGGTGGGCCTTGGAGCAGGGATCGATGATTCCACGTGTGTGTTGCAGGGTGTCTCCGACCACTGTGCCACACGCGCTATTGGTGTAACACAGATGTTATATAATGGGGTGCCCTGCAATACAGAGATCGTCGTTTTCGCCCTTGTTCCTCAAGTGAGCTAAACGCTGAATCCCTCCAAGCTCGGAAGACTGGTAGGAGACTTATTTGGAAGGATGAAAACACTGCCTTTATACATAGGTAATACCGTCATAATTGGCACAGGCTAAATATTGAATCAGTAACCTTTAGGATTCCTAACCAGAAGTCAAATTTCATGGCGCATCCCTAATGAATAGACCAACGTTGGACGAAGTCTCTTTTATCATCCAAGGTGTAAAACACAACGTGTAAAACTAACCCTTAAAGTCAACTTTGTCGACAAGGTTGTCTATCAAAGTCTCGTCGAATGAATGTGGCAATTCTTCAAGAGCAGCACAGTATTTGAAGATCTGTTCCAGTTGGTCTACAACACAATTTCTCCACATTCCTAACGTAATGTGGTCCTGGAAACTGCATTTAGTACACATTACTGCCACTGTCACTCATGCTGACAGTACTGCAACTAACAACTAAACCTATTCAAGAATAATGTGCTCCGGATGCCAATGTGAACTTACAGAATCAAGCGACGTTTAAAAAGATACCGGTCATTAAAGAACACAAAAGACAAGCTATGCTTAAAAGAGCAGGGGAAGTTGTGCTTCACTCGAACACTTGGATGGCCCGTCTTCTTTGGTCGAGCGGGCTCCAGTATAATTTCCATTTCTTCGGAGTTTTGCTGGTTAACCATTGTTGCACCCTGAAGTCCCGAGGTCACCCTGATAAAAGGCCTCCCCAGATCGTCACCACCACAAGCAGTCGCAGCCGATCAGAGGGAGATTTACCACCATGGAACTAGTTTGATACCAGGATGGCGGTGGATATTGGCAGTGGCTTTTAGCTGGGCTTCCTGATAGAAACGCTGAACTCCCTCTCAGCTTGGGAGACCCTGCCGCGGGGATGAATCCCCTTGCTGTACATCGTAGCCGACACACGACACCTAAGAACATCTCCCAGCCAAGATGAGGCGGCAAACCATTGGGAGGTAGCTTACCTATACTAACAATAAAGTCCACGATGGAAAAAACAAGTAACTGAGATCGTGACCCTAAACCACAAGAAGGACGAAATATTCGAGATATTTCTTGTAGGCTCGCTTGCATTACTTTCAACGACCAACTAGTAACTGCTTGTACTTCAATATATTTATATCAAAACGTCCCACATTGGTCTTTCGGCACAACAATTACGTCACCAAAATACGAAATAAGAACGAATCTACAAGGAAAGAGCTTCATTTTAATGTGGGGAAAGGCGCAACGCATTCAGAGAGGTAGTAAATTTTCGGATACATCAGATAAAACCGATTTACTACAACCAATTAGTCATAGAGTAATTTGAATCCGAGTATTTAACAAAGTAGCAAACTATCCAAGAAAATGGGGAAAAGAACAGTATTGAAATCCATTAGTGATAAAGTAGAAGGAATCAAAACATTTAATGAGGTAGCAAATTGTCAGATAAATCGAATGAAGGAATTGCACTAAAGTCCATTGGCCGTACCCTAACATAACAAAGACTCGGTAGTCTACGATTAGGGAGTTCACACTGGCTTACCTACTTCTACTAGATGAAAAGCATACAAAAAGAAACACAGCAAACACCCTGTCACGGCTTTTCGACTAAAGTTTCGTCGAGCTTTGATTCAGAAGAGCCTCAATCTCTTGAACCATCTGTTTAGGCTCAGTTGTTGGACCAAATCTAAATTAACGAAAATATCATAAAAAAAGACATCAAGACAAAGACGCTGACGAACGTCTTGGATACCTGCGTAGCAAAGCAGAAGTTTGTGCTCAGATTCCCAACACTTTAACTTTTCAGAAAAATAATTCTGCCAGTTACAAACCTCTTGCAAACTTTGCCGTTTCTATCAACCAAAAATTTCGTGAAATTCCATTTAATTGCATCAGTCAGGATGCCACTCTGAAAAGAAAATCATTGTACAAAAACAAGTCCGCGCAAATGATGCTCGATAATGAAGGAGTGCTCATTATTCAAGAAACTGCGGAAAATCCAAAAAATAAAGGATCAAGGATAAAGCTCTCAGCGTTTCCCAGCGCTCCGACTACTGCGCCACACGCGCCCTTCCAAAGTACACTTCCCTCAAATCTATTCTCCAGTGAGAAAGTTCGCGTCATTCTTCATCCAACGATAAAATAATCATGGTAGTTATTGACATTTCGTTGATGAATCCATATTGAACTTACTTTCAGAGCGTAAACTATAATGACCGGATTTGCTAACATGACACTTAGCGAGCATATGTGAGAAATCGGCAAAAAAAGACACTGTAGAAAAGTTTGATGTTGGTCACCTCAACCAATACGGCCCAAAGCTTAAGCCAAAGCCAAATAAGCCAAAGCTTGTTTACCTACTGCATAGGAGTTTCCCATTCAGTTCATACCAACAACACCGCAGCACTGAGCTGATTAATCAGTAGGTAGATGCAAGTCATAGGTAAGCTTTCAATCACTTATAATGTTGCTTGATGAAGTGGAATGTACTGCGCATCTCTCAGTACTGATCAACACCGCGGGCTTTCTGCTTCACCTTTTTATCCCAGAGTACAAATTATGGAGAAGAGATCAAACCAACGATGCCTTTTCAGTTGCTCACCTTCTGTTTCTTCAAAAATTTGTATAGTGGATCTGCATTATCCCCGTTCACATCAACCTTTGCATAGAGGTCTGGCTCGAAGCTGAACTTGTTTTCCACAAAATTCTTTATGTCGAGTTCACAGGCTGGTTCCTTGCATGTTTAATATCTAAGTACAGTAAAACGAGCACAGTAATTAAGATTGTCATACCTGCCCTCCGAATTGGTTACAAGGGAACGCCGCCACTTCTAAGCCTTGAGATTTGTATTTATCGAGCAATTCCTTTATCTGTGTGTAATTTGAATTTGCTAACCCACACTGCGAAGCGACGTTGACGACCACTACCACTTTTCCTCTGAAACGCCTACAATTTATATCTTTAATATCACAAGGTGCTTCGTTGATATCATACTCATATAAAAGTAAGGGTGAAGGATAAAGCCTTCGGCGTTGATCAATCCCTGAGGGATAGGCCATACATTCGACTTCATTGAACACCGCTGGAGGTGATTGCATATCTGGCCTTTATAATGACTCACGCTGACCTACCGATGAATCGAGCCAGCGCTTCTATGCTGCCAGACAAGTCTGCTACCAATTTGCCGACGCCGGAGAGTTGGAAGGCTTCGTGAGCCTGAGGCGTGGGGACCTATCCCATGTGTATAGCTGGGGACCTCCGACCACTGGGCTACACGCGCCCACCCGGTACATAGAGTGAGGTTATGCAACAACCCTTCTTCAACTCACTTGTACTTGTCAAGAGACACCTCCTTCTTATCCGCATCCCTTACAGTGAATTGGTAGATCGTATCCGCTGACATCCTGGCCGAAGACAGTTGCAGTAATCGACAGGAAGCCACTGAAATCATGCTTGCCATTATGCTAGCAACCAGGTCACAAGAAAATGAGCGCAAAAAACACACGAACATTAAATGATACACTTCAGTTGTGTCCAAATTTAAACAAAACCTTGGAGAAGCACCTTACCTTGATATACGTCGAAGACGACTCATTCTTCGAAATAGTAACAAATTTGAAGGAAGCGACTACAAGACTGACCCCATGCAAAACAAAAATCGTAAATATCTAAGTGGCAAAAAGAGTAATGGGGAACACTTACAGAGACGGAGATTCATCCTTCTGAGCTACAATATCGCGAACCGTACCATCGAGAAGTTTCAGCAAGTTTTCCAATATATTTTTGTCACTACTAGGGGCACCAAATATGTACGCGGATAGAGGAGAGGCAACAAATGTCCTCCTCTCTTGCAACAGTTGCACCTTCGATTGCAGGGATCCGGTGCTGTGTCGCAAACACACGCAGTAGCCACGGGAACCTCAGACCCGAGAAAGCCGTTAGCTCTAAGCTCCTTGTAAAATACAAGGAAAAAAAGGAAACAAGTAAGGAACACTACTAGGCAGAGTATTGCCACTTTGTCAGTCATACGTAACAGACATCGTTCACAATGTAGCGAGTGGATAATGCTAGTGGAGTAACCTAAAACAGTTTCTACAATGAAAAAGACAGAGGGTTTCAAAAAGAACCAAAGGAAGAGACGATATCCTCTTCTAACTCTGAACATTCATTACAAATCCTTAGTAAGATTCGTCGTTGCATGTGCAAGATATAACGCACAAGGTGATTCTGAACTGAGCTCTTCGTGAATCCATACTCTTTCATATTTTCCTTCAACTCTACTTCTCTTTCTCTGCATCGTTCCTCTTCTCCTCTTCTGCTCTTCATCTCCATTCCTAATCAATTCAAATCTAATCAGAAATCGATTTTAAAGGGGTCACCGACGACGGTTAAATTCACCGACGGTTACCATGAACTACCAGTGCACAAGTAAAGCTCGAAAATGTCCGAGACTGATTTCCAGTGAGTTTTTGCATCATCAAATTGAAACATAAGAACAAATTTGTAAGCAGTCAACAAAGTTTAAGAATAGTGCATTAAGTCTAATCACATCTGAACTCGGAATACATAAAAACGGGGCAAAATAACTGAAAAAACTGAAACAATGACATACAAAGAAAAACACTAACATAAAACAGGAAAAAGAAAGAAAAGGAAAGAGAGACAAAAACAAAAAAGAAGAAAAAGGACAAAGAACGAGATGAGAACGAAACATAAGCTTGGTATGCACGGAATGTATAAAATATAGAAACTACCTATCTGTAGATATAACAGACCTGGTCGCCTTCTACAACAGTAATCAGTTCAGACTACGTTCTCAGTTGAGTGTTGAAGTAAAAAAAACAGTAACAAATCCGGATAGAAAAGCACGTCAGAAATATGGCAAAAAAAAATGGTGAACAGGTGTATCATGAGAGAATAGATCATACGGAAAGAAAGCAGTGGAATTAAAAAAGAAATGTACACATGTTCACACTGATAAGGCAAGATACTTGGTAACGTTCTTTTTATGTGCTGTTTTCGACTTTTTCACTCCCTCATCCTTTGCCAATGAGTTGCGCTTCCCTATCTTCTTCTTGCCCAAATTCTGCAATTTCGTCTAGGCTTAAGAATAAACAGTAATAACGACGACGATGATAACAATAATAACAATGAAAAGAATAAAGCTTTCGGCGTTGATCAATCCCTGGGGGATGTGCCGTTCATTAAACATCACTAAGCATCGTTGGAGGCGATTGAATGTATATCTGTCTTTACAATGATTCACGGTGGCCTACCGATGTATCCAGCCAGTGGAGCTATCTTATCAAACAAGTCTGGTACCAATTTACCAACTCTGGAGAGATGAAGGCCTTTGTGGGCCATGCGCGCATCGATCCCATGCGTATTGCAGGGCACCTCCGAGCATTGCGCTACGTGCGCCCAACAATAATAATAGTAACAAAAAACAACAATAAAAATAACATTAAAAAATAAGTATAATAGTTAGTGGCAATAACGTCTATACAAGCGTAATCACTTGGCTATCATAATAAAAAGACAACGACTGCGACGAGTACCGATATCAGAACAATCGACGGAATAATTATTTAGGCATGAATGACGTCTTTATGACTTTCTAGTTCCATAACCGTAAAGTAAATGTCACTTCTTTCAAAACGATAAGCAACCAAACACACTGTAGTCTCTGGTAGAGTAATCTCTGGACGACTAGGTAAATAAAAACTTCGCGTGAAAGGATGACAAAACTCAGACATGCATCGAATAATCAGACCGATGATTTGGCTGGTGGGTTTCGAAATGTCGAACAACTCAGGAAATGCTAAGTTACGGAAACGCTAGACACTCAGACCATCCAAGACGACGAGAACTATACTAGCCTTCAAGAAAAGTTACGGAAATTAATCTAAAAGGCAGAAACCTCGAGTAAAGGTTGAACATTTTTCTTTTTTTTTGCAAAATTTGGTTCTGGAATCGAGCTATTAGTGAGAATCACCTACCTTTTTCTTGAGCTGCGTCTTACTCATATGCTTATGACGAATTTTCTTGCCAAGGAATTTCGGCATCGCTTTCATTCCTGATCCATGAATCTCTCCTATTGATTGTTTAACCTGGAAGCCAGAAATCCGGCTGAAGCTCAATCTGTTTAGCATGGGAAATTCCTAAACCTGTTGTTTCACTTTTTCACTAAGTTCGTGCCCTGTTAACTTCTCTCCTTTACTTTGTGCGGCTCGACGTGCCTGAAATAAGCATAATACATCCATATATATTAATTAACTATTTCTTCCAGACAACATGCTGAGTTTTTATCAAGTAGTCACTAAAGAAAACCACTGGAGCTCTTTCCCGTTAACTTTGGCCGACATTAGGTCAACTAATTCGGCTCTAATGCATTGCTCCTTCACTGTGGCGAGGAAGTATTAACTGATGCTAAACACACAGCAAGAACTTATGGTTTAACAGCATCACCCGAGCTGTGTGACCATCATTATATTTTCATTCGGTTCCCAACGAAGTCATAAAGGAACAAATCTATAAGATCGATGGACACATAGTTAAGAGCTGGGAAAACCGAAGCACTGGTACCTAGGAAATCCAGGAGTGGTCACCTGCCTAGCAAAAACGTGCAGGATTCGAATATCTAAGCAAGATAGGAAGCAATACCTTAGCTCTGACTGCTAACAGGTTTTCAACAGAAAACTCAACAATAGGACGACGTTGATTGGAGAATGTTTGTGGGTTATTGTTCAGCTTCAACAAACACTCCAACGCATCTTTGTGCTCAGTAAAATTGACAAATGCGAATCCTTTAGACCGAGGATTACCCTGAAACAAAGGGAAATATAAGATATATTCACTTTATTTCTTTCACATCACGTGAGAGCTGTAAAAATCGACCACGCGGATAGAACAATTGTAATAATTCACACAAGAAAAATTTTTCGCACCTTAGCATCCAGTCTCGAAGGATCCTTCCAAATACGACATTCTGTTATGGTTGCTAGTTTACCCACCGCCGTACGACACAACTTTCTCAATTCTTCATCTGTCATTGACATTGGAAGGTTGTGAATCATCAAACGAGTAGGCGATACAAACCTGCAGTCAATTAATAACCAGAAATATCCAGGTACATCTGAAATATTAAATTCAACAGTCTTTATTTATAAACTTTTATTTTCTGCCTACCATAATTTTTTCACGGCAGGGCATGATGCGAAATGCAACCAAAACGATGCTGAGATATTCGCAAAACTTGGACCCCGGGTAAGATCAAAGCATCATTGTGGTTGTATTTCACACCATACCCTGCAGTGAAAAATTGTAGTAAACAGGAAATAAATAAATAACTTCCATATAGATTATTTCGTATCCAAACTGTAAAAGTGTTATACATAAACATATAAATATATGTACATATCATATTGCATATATATGTACATGTACAATATATGTATATATATATATATATGCATATATACACAATATGTTAGACATATTCTAGCGGAAGAGAGGCACCCCACCCATGCAAACACTGTGCGATTGGTCTCCATCAATAAGTGAATCTCATAAAAACGGTATGCGAAGAGTTTGTTTCAAACCTTAATGAAATTCGTTTATAAAGTTGAATCTTGTGAAGTTATGAAAGTGTTTCAGTGGATTGCGTGTCAAGATGACCTTTCCAGGATTTGAAAAAGGCGAAATCCGCCAAAACGTTAGCAGTGAATAAACAGTATAGCAAAAATCTCGTGGCTCCTCGCCAAAAAACCAGTGAATTATTGGACAGTGGATTAACGCAGAAGTTAACAGAAAATCGGTCTCAGGATTAAATTGCATAAAAAATTATAAATTATTAGAGATTTCAGATTAGGGACTGGAATAATACTTAAGACCTTATTTTGAAAAAGCCAATACGTTGTAAGTTATATCACATAAGCCTTTCAAGAGGACTATCACCGCACGCAAGGATTTCAAACCTGCCACCATTTCAACCTCAAAAAAAACTAACTGGCTATTGTTTTTCTAAAGACCACAATGAAGGTGAAATTGGAAGTATTACCGAACAGCAGTATTACCGAACAATGTTGTAATATTAGTACGACTCGTGCACGAGTTTTCAGGTTTTAAAATTGCAACATGTGCAAGTGCATGAGTGAGGGAAAACAGTACCTCAAGGAAGAAACTGTTAAGGGCCTGGGATATTGTACTAATGACCGGTTCAACCTGCGCTTGTACAACTAATTTAATTTGTATACAGTATATTTTTCTCTTCATTCCCTCTTAATAGAGATTTCATCCCATCTCGGAATCGGTTATTATTTTCGAAACTCTGCGAAGAAGTGGCAACTATTGCTTTTACGGATCTAGTAACGGTAATTGTCAAATGTGAGAGAAAAACTACAAAGATACATACATATGGAGGCTCTGCAGCTTCTTTCTAGATAATTCTGCCAATCTTTGCCGTTTCGCAGCATCCTCTGCACTCATCCCTTTTGCAGTAGACGTTCCTTCACGAATCAACGAGAATCTCAAAAGACGTAGATTTCTCTTATCCTCTGGCACCTAGAAAATCAATTATTGTAGTCAATCTGTCTTTGGAAATTGAAGTGGTTCCTAAAAAAGTAAAAGTTTTCTCTTCAAGTAGACGTAACCTTAACAGTTTTCTGTTTCTGTATTTTCTCAGCATTTTCTCGCTGAATAGCGAGTAGTCCTTTGACCTCACGACCATCTGAAACATGACGCTTAGATCCACAATACTTTGTATTCCACATAGAAAAATATTGGAACTCTATTGTCATAACAATTGTCAGTCGTCTACCTATTATGAAGCCGTCACACATAGCTCTTAGACATGCTTTAGCTTCCTCTGCCGTCGAGAAATGAACAAATGCTGTACCTAAACAGGGGAAATTTCTTTTCTGAGAAATTGTAACAACAACAATAATATTAGTATTGAGACATCACTATTCTGCAAGGGTAACAATAATTATCAACTTATTCGAGACGGTTAGTGCGAACACATGATTAATTCTACTTGCCGTAAGGGAAAAACAAGTTTTTTCTCAGCAATCTGACCTACTGGTTGTTCGAATTGTCCCAAAATGTCTTCTCTTTCGATAGAGTGACGAAATAGTCCTTATTTTACCCCACGGAATATCAGCATGGGTTTTTTCTGTTACTAAACATATATCTCCTGTACACCCCGTAATTACGCCAAATTTCGAATGTCTAAAATATGCACTCGACTTAGACGCACGATGAGGTGGTCCACTTTCGTTTTCAAAATGGTGTCATGCATGGTCTTTCGTGGGCACTGTGAATAGACTGATGGGTAACTTCATGGCGTTTCTTTAAAAAGACGCAGATCTTAATTGTTAGATGCCATCTAACCACCGATTGTCACATACTTCCTACTCATCCGAGTTCAGGTTCTCGGTGAAATCAACGCCTAAACTGTATACATATTTATACAACCCTTCATTCCCCTAGCTAAAACCTAAAGATGCCAAGAAAAATTCGGACATGTACTGAAGACGACAAAGGAAAAATGGATAACTGCATATTGCGTTGTGTTATTATTCAGTTCCTACTAAGATGGATAAAATTTTCTTCAGTGTGCTGGACAAATTACACTAGAAACAAACAAGGAAGAAAATGCTTCTACGAATGAATTTTGACAAAACTTTGATGGAATCACACAGCAAAAAAAAAAACAGAAAAAAAAAATGAAAACAAACCTTTCGGATGTCCACTATCCCGGAATTTGCAGCAAACAGCAAGCTTTACATCCCCAAACTTCGCCATTTCAATTTTTAGTTTTTCATCAGTTGTTTCGAAAGAAAGATTTCTAAAACATAATTGCTTGACTAGTAATATCTAATAAATATCCCGAAGTACTAACTGAAGTGATCATGAAGCTACTTATTTGGATTAACGAAGTTATACCTCAATTATGTAGGAACTGAAAAAATGGACAGTGCAAAGAATAATGATGACTTTGGAAAACCTTTGGACAATGTAACGCATTAACCGCTGAGTATCAGCGCTACTTCCACAAGTTCACTTTAGACTACAGCACCCGTTAAACCCACAATTTTCTCCCCAAACGCTTTGCTTCGCAAAATATTTTTCATTGTAATCATTTTTCATTTGCTGTCTATTCTTTCTTCACGGCAGAGTATACTGTGATATATAACCACAATGATGTTGAGATATTTGCAAAACTCCGGACAGCAGTTGTCTTCGGTGGAGACCGAACCTGTTATTACCCTTTCCGGATCTGATGTGTTAAACACCACACTATGCGGCTACTTCGTTTCACATTTCTCTCACATTTAAAACAGAAAAATGTGAGAAGTCACATATGATTAAGCTACAAAAGAAACTCTCGGACCCGACCGAAGACTTGGGTGCTTATAGAGTAACTTAAAACATACCTAATTCGAGTCGATTTTGCAAAAAAGAGGACCAGATTGAATCTCTAAACTACGAAGTTTCTCGAGAAGAAAACCGACGCATGATTAAATTGCAACACTCTCATATGGCAGATAATAAATCTCAGCCTCATAAGATCTTTGAAGGGAGAGTTTACATTGTTACAGGCAGAAAACACTTCTGGAGCAAAGTCAGATTACGGCATAACACTCGAATATGTCACCACTGACGAAGCGAATCACTTCCATAGACGAAAATCGCGAGGCAAAAATAGAAGTGAAAAGTGTCCTACGGTCTGCTATATTTGTGAAGTCCTTCATGTACGCAAATAAGTAAGGATTCCACTAGGCATGGATAAAAGAAAAAAAGTTGCAGAGGTCTTGAAATTAACGCTGGGTTTCTTACACAGCAATCTGAAAGAACAACATTAAAACTCTTAACATGCTTTGAACCACATCTGAAAATTGAAAGGTGAATTCATACAAAATGATGTACCAGAACTTTTCGTCACAGAACCCCATACCCCGAGTTAACATTTAACCTGGGATAAAATTGCAGCTCACCTTATGTAAACTCTAAGCTGGTGGTTCTCGTAAACAAAGCGGACGACAAACGAGAATGTTTTTGAAAAAGATGCTCACCGTGCGATTGATAGACACGTTTTTATTACTTTCGACAACATTATTTAGCATGTAAAAGTATTTGCCCAGTTAAACTGCATGCTCTGATTAGGCTCTGAAGAAGATGAAATCAGCCAATACGTTGATAACTGTGAACTAAAAGTTACATCGACGAAACTATGTGCACTCGTGAAAAAGATGGAAACTTCACAGAAAAAATAACGATTTCGTGTAGTGGATAGTTTTTCAAGGCGAATAGAAGTTGTTCCAAACAACATCCCTGGAACCACCAACACTTCAGAAGCCCTTGTGACGATATGAATGTGAACGATGTAGCTGAATAGCACGAAGAATGAGCTACCTAGGGTCCCTACGAAGACATAGACGAACGAGGAACCTTCATGGAAATCTTGGGTTAAAAGAATAGTGTCGACAAACAGACGTGTCTGTATTTTAAAAGAATACCCTGTTTACTGATTACTCGTCCTAAGAAGAATTAATATGTATGAAGCTCCGCACTCAGCAGCAACCAGGTGACCAGAAATGGCATTCTGTCTGTTAAATGTTTATAGAGTTTTTTTTTCTACCCATGTTTTTGCATCCCATGCCTCGTCAAACATAGAACAAGTTTATGGCTATCAAGAGGAGTGGCTCTCGAAAAAATATACACCGCACTCAAAAATTTGCAAAAAAACCTCTTCTGCACCTTTTCAATACTCTTTTTTGGTCTACACGAAATCAGTGGCGGTCACTAATGTGCTAAATGTAGTCCAATTATTGTATAGAAAAGTACTAAACTCAAGGCCTCCATCCTTTGGTATAAATTTCAAAATTTCAAAAAATAGGGCTCTGAATGCGGCTTTCGTTTGGAAGTACGAGATAGCTTTTACCATACCACAGTAAAATCTGCCCAACAGTAAAAAAGTGATGAAACACGTCGTTACAAAACAAAGCCATGTATAAAATCATGTTAAACAATTATTGCCGAATACACTAAACAATAAATGTAAGGAAAAATACCTAAGAAAAACGACGCGTTCCTCATCTATGGCTGGGTCCTTCCTTCCAGTGCTATCTTCTCCAAATTGATTCTCAGATTCATCTCCTTCTTCTATGTTTCCTTCCCAATTTGTTTTATGTATTTCGCATTTCTTACTGATACTCTCATCCTCAATGTACTCTTCACTGAGTTCTTCGGTACTGGAAAAACTATTCCATTTATTATACCTAAACTGCGCTACTCTCACTTACTTTCCCAAAGCATTTACAGCATACACTTCTCTTCACCACCAAAAAATTTTCGAAGACAAAAGCTATTGATCATCTCTAAAGTATATGTTCACCTGACTGGTTCGAGATTTCTCGCTCCGTTCTCCTCGTTCTTTTCCAACTTCACAGCTCTATTTAAATTTTCTCGTTCTAGAAGAAAACGCATGTCTATATTATTAACAATAAGACGTCAATAAAATAAGAAGTTAGAGATAAAGAACAACTCGAGAAACGAAAACAAAAAGGGTACCTTCTTGTGCAGCGCACTCATACGCATCCTTAGGCAAAGCCCAATCTGCTGCAACCAGCCGTCCCTAACAAATACGATAACGACATATGACAAGAAAACATGTTTTCCAAAGGGTGTACGATATTGCTCGCGAATACCTAATAACTACAGATGGCAGGTTTTTCTGCAACTATGTCTATCAAAACAAATTCAGTTACTCTGAGTGTTGAGAATATGTGTTATCACAGCCATCCAACCCATTTTTAAACCGCCAACCGCGTTAACAGATAAAGCACTCAAAAAGAAGATTTGGAATTGTTAATCGAGTATCAGCGTCAACTATTCCCATGCAGTCCACTCCAGAGTAAATTTCAATTTTGAGCTGGTGGAAAAACAAAGGCGGAGTACGACCGGCAACTTTGAAGTGCTATAGCTCGACTTTTGTCGATAAGACAAAAGTTCAGCTGTCCAGAGAACATAATATTAAGTTCTCAGTAAAAGTTCTAAAATCGATGAATACTTTGAAAGATTTTCCGTAGGGGCTTGACTGTTTCACACAGTTAAAGTTAACTGAAAGATGTTGTTGCATGTTTGAAAAAGCAGAAAGCGGTTGGAAATGTCAGATTGGTATGGAGGATGACGCAAAGTTTCCCACCCTAATTCGTACTCTAACTCGTTGAATCACCTGCGTTAGTCATGCAACGGGTGCTTGAGCACTGTCGTAAAGTAGAATTGAAATCTTCATTGATCTTGGGCGAGAAGGACCTTTTTCGTTACCAAGGTTTAAATTTACGGTAATACGTTTTCCACACCGTATACGTAGAATTCGAGAGCTCTATCACTGCCTATGTTTTGGTAATATTTCGTGTTGCTTTCACTACAGAGTGTCTATGTCTGAGCGCTCATCTAAAACTATATGTTTTTCCTACCCTGACAACAACGATCCAACGCATCTAAAACTATTGTAAACTAAGCGCTAAACGAAGTATTACAAAAACAGTCAAGCAAAAAATAAGCTTAGTAGTGCTACAGCAACAACATGCATTATACTTGTATTAGAAAACACGTTTAAAAGTTTCACGACTTGAAAAAGCACCAATCCATTTGCATTAACAAAATACTGTGTGTCCAATCTATTCGTGTCTACGCAATTCATAATGTCATGATAAATGAATGACACTTTTGGTATTCTACTCACATATCCTGCTTTATAGGTGGTCTCGTATAGATCGGTGGCCAGAGGCGCCCTGCAATACACATGGGGTCGCTCCCCGCGCGTGGCTCACCAAGCCTTCCAACCCTAAGGGATCTGTCGACAAATTGGTACCAAACTAATCTGGGAGGATAACAGCATTGGCTGGATATATCAGTAGACCAGCTTAATGGAATCAAATGCACGGCGCATCCGTCAGGGATTGATCAACGCCCAAAGCTTTATTCTTTTTTATCCTGCTTTACATTACTAGAAGCCATGTTGGACACGGCAACACTCAGTGAAACACTAATTTCCTCCAAAACTTTCTTATGGATTATCTTATAGATTCACATTCCTCGCAGTAAATTAGTGCACTGATACCGTTGATGCACATAAAATGAGAAAATTTAGCGCGAATGCTGTATGGTCTATGTTCTGAGCATTTAACTTAAAGTCTAAAACATGACTTACCTTGAATTTGTTCGCATTGAAGTATTCACGAGCTTTTTCAGCGGATTCTCGGGTTTTGAACTGTACAAAAGCGAAGCCAGCAATTCGACCTGCCATTTTCTTCGACGGTGGCAGTACGACGTCAGTGAATAATCCAAAACGTGAGCAGACATTCTGGATTTCTTCGCGTGTTGTCTGAATTCGAAGGACTATACAGCTTTGGAGATGCATTAGCGTTAGTGCTAATGTAATACAAAGCTTATATTGTAATGAAAAAAATCTATTTTGTTCCACATTTCGCTGGTAAACTTTATTTCGAAAGTATTCATTAAAAGGAAAATCAGTATTGGAAGAATCAACCTTGAATCCGAAAGAGCTACCCAAAAACATCGAACAGGGTTACTTGTAATTTTCAACCTTGAACGGTAAATTTCTTATGATCATCCTCCACGACTTCAACTTCGCATCTTTGTGATAGTCTTTCCGGTCCTTTTTGAAGGATAGGTTAGTGCAGCTCTGCTTTGCCCCTAAAGCATTTCTGCACTGCCTCAGTATAAGACGCATTCGGACTTTAATCATAAAACCTTTAAAAAATGACCACCAACCATCATTAGTATTTTCAGCTACAGCATCATTAATACAACGCTTGTCCTTGAAAACTTTTCGCTTGGCTCCTGATCGACTACCCCTTCTTTGGCTCTGATAGTCCATGCTTAGACATAAACTTTTTAAAAAAAAGCAGCTTTTTCACAACCACAATTTGAAACCAGGAAGGCAGTGAGGTCACAACATATATGACGGAAAAATATAAATTGCCGGATTTTAGAATATTTATGTACATAACATCTTCTTTAGCACAACATAAACCTCGTCAAAAGCACTTGCTATTTTTAGCCAACAACATTAGCGGAAAGATTGAAAAAGGCTCTAGTGTAATAAAGTACTATATCGAAACAACGACAGAAATACCTAGGAAAACTACTGCGATCTACTCGGGCTTAACCCGCTGGCTGATGGCATCAGTGTTGGTAGGGTCTGGTTTCCAGATGTATCCATCGATGATGTGACAGAACCAGGAGATGCAGGTTGTCTAGCTGCAATATCAACGTACGCATTAACAACAAGCAAATGATCAGAAAACTACATCTGAAGTTGGTATGGACACTTCGCTCATACGGTTTAACTATACTAATTTAGAATACCATCGATGATATGGACCATACTCATCCTAGTACCAGTATCACAAGGAAGCCTTCACACCTTGTACTAATGGACGAAAATAATTAAAATTTCAACTCCAAACAAGCACCTAAATGTCTCAACATTTGTTTACAGTCTATTCTTTTTTTTAGGAGGCGAATTGCACAGTGGTAGTGATAACAGTCATCACTAGCATGGTGCTAGTTCGATTCCGCTCCGGGCCAACCAAGTCTCATCCCTCCAGGGTCGGGAAATTGGACTTGGTAACGGACTTGTCCGGGAAAAATCACTCTTTGCAATCCAATTGGGAATGCTTCAGTCCGGCTATCTTAGGTCTACTAAGATAATCGACTCAACCAGCATTCTACGACATTCAAGATGAAATGAAAATCCTCAAACAGCAGATTAAGCCACACATAAAAGTTGCAAGACTTTCGCCGATAATGGATGCGAGGAAACAAATCGAATGTGGGAAGTGCTGGAATCCACACAGTAGACGTGTCATTTAAAAAAAAACTCTTTTTTATGGCAGGATACGGTCTGAAATACAACTATAAGGATGGTGACGTATTAGAGAAACTAGGAACCTCGATTGGGATTCGAAATCGCGACCACACTCACCAACACTCACGCTCTTAGGGGCTTTTTCAACCTTACTGTAGAAATTAAGACACCTTATCGGTATCGAAAGCCAAGTAACAAGAACATTTTTGTTCCTTTCTTCCTACCCTTCACACACAAAGAGGGCGATTGTGAGAAACATGTTTCGAACAGCCACCTCTGTGTGCACTACCAGGGAACTAAAGGAAGAATCGCGCGACTTGGCTCGGCAAATAGCCATTTCCAATGGCTACGAAATAGTAACCCCACGAGATTAGTCTACAAGGAGAACGACGCGCCCACGCGAAACACTTGGCCAAAACAAAATCCCGTTTATGTTGCCTTTCATAAGCGATGAAGTAAGCGCAGCTATAAAACGATGCTTAAGAAGGGCAGGTCTAGAGGAATCGGTAGCGATAGTTGAAATACCACCGACTACTCTACGTCGCCAATTAGTTCGCAACCGCCTGTATGACCGTCTGTGTGAAACAACAAATTGCGTAATTTGCCCTTACGGTAGGGACGGTGATTGCATGAGTTCAGGTACGATATACCTGATCTCTTGTAATAATTGCAGAGATGAATATATTGGCGAAACGGGCAGACCTTTGTGTATCCTTATAAAAGAACACCTTGATGGCAAACGAAAACTAAGACGAAACACCCCACTAGGCACGCATAGGATACAAAAGCATAGCGGAGACGATTTTGAAGTAAAAGTCAATATCCTTGCACAGGGGCCCAAAACACCAGCGCGAAAACTCCTTGAGGCTTTTTGGATAAATGCCGAAAACCCTACAATGAATAGCAGGGATGAATGCCCTGAGGTCATACGCGACCTGATCCCGTATGTTCGCATCGATTTCTGATGTGGGATGGTGCAGTCGTCAACCACATGCGACTATAATCAGCTGTTCTAAACTTCCTCATTGGAAGTCACGAAAAAGTGGTGGGTTTTTCGAGAAGTTGTTGATCGTGTAGTTACCAAAGAGTCTTTCGTCTTTGTGTAAGTGTTATTGAAGCGTTTGGCCTAGTAGATTGTATATCAGTATACCCTTCCAGGCTCTGAAGAAGGCGATACTGCCGAAACGTCAGCTAGCGTTGTATTGTTTTTTTTATGAAAGTAAATGTATGCTGTTTAAAAACCTCGCGATTGCTGAACAAGAAAACGACACATTCATAAGACACCTTCGTTGATGAAAAAGGTGCTCAGATATCATTGCTGAATTTCTTCAGCCTCCATAGTATCCTTGCTTCAATGGGACCACTGCCACATATCCAAAAATCCACTAATCACGGCATTCTATGAGTTCCCATCTAAAGTCAAAAGGCGATGAACTTTCCTATCTCTTCAACATTTACCAGCTCCCTTCTATCCGTACTTGTTTGTCTTTTTCGCAGTTACATCCCAAGCATAAACAATAAATAATTCTCGAAAACATGCCACTTTTCTACAATCTATGGAAAGCAGTCAATCCATAAAACGTGGCTGCCACTGTTAGGTCCACATTTCATACCAAAAACTAGAAGCGTCCAGTTACTTCAAAATCGTTTGCTTGCACACAATGGAAGCAAATACTACTTTTAATTCCATATACAGTCACGGTTCCCGTTTACTAAAAATGCAATTTCCCCAACACAGCCAAGCAAATGTCACAAGCGAAGAATTTATAGCAATCAGTATGGGACAAAACCATTTACAAATCAATTGGGCAATTGAATTGCCTAGTTTTCCAGTACGTACAACACTCCAATTCCACTAAGATACCCACCTTCACAGACAAATACTTCTGAAGCGGTATTACTTTGGTCGGGTTCTACAGTTCCCTTAGTAGCACCCTAAAATACTTTCGATCACTTAAACATTCTAAGTAGCCACAAAACTGTAAAAATCGATAAAACCGTTAGTAACACCCAATCGGCTCGGTAGCGCAATTCCCAGATTTTTTAACCTATCAGCTGATATGGCACCTTCTTGTTATATAATTCCAGCAGAGCCTTCTCCATGTGATCGATATCGTCGGCTTTGATTTCTATAGAAGTAAGAGGCCTTCGCAACATCCCTGAATTAAACTGGAACACATGACTGCAGAATCAGCTGAGCATGAGCACCCGTGGAGCTTTGTTCACTTGGGCGACATCGTGCTACAGCATGAATCTAACATCTGATTCGAAGAATCTCTTGAATGATTAAACACATAACAACCGAAATGCATTGATACAACGTATACGTATTCGAAAACAACTACCTCTCCCAATAATTTTTTACACTCTTGTTGAGCAAACACGAGGTGTTACTTTACTCCGTGCAGCGATGAAGCTGGCGTTTCGGAGGATTTCGCCTTCCTTGGACCTGGAAAGGTCAAGGTGACCGTAATCTACGCAGCCAAACATTTCCATAACCAAAGAGAGAAAGTGCTAAACCAAGATTTCAATCATACTGAACACAGAATAGCTTCTCTGTACATTCACCGCTTTCGATGAGTTCTTCACTAAATAAGTCACCTGGAGACCAACCGCACAGAATCTTGGTTTAGCACTTTGGTTATAAAGGTGTTTGAGTGGGCAGACTGCGGTCAACTTGACCATTCCAGCTTCTGAGGAAGGTGAAACCCGCCGAAACATCAGCTTACTCTTGAATAAAAAATAAAATAACGCCTCGTCTTTGCTCAACAAAAATACAAAGAGTTATTCAATCAACACCGAGGTTAATAGGAAGTCGGTCGTGGGAATTATCTCTCTCAATTTCAACCAAGCCTATCTCGGCTCAGTGAGCTTTACCAACAGAACTGAAATAGCTAAAATCCATATCATTTTGCCAATTAGGTGAAGCGTGTTTCATTCTACAACGACAAAGTCGCGATTTTTGAAAATCCATGGAACGATACTTGTTGTTGAGGCCCGTATTGACAGCGGAAAGACTTAATAGCCGGATTTCCCATAATGGGACATGATAGTATCCTTAATGCTTACGCTGAATTTTGCGACTTCGCCGCTTGCTTGAAGAGTCCCAGATCTTGTTTCCAATCCTGAGAGAATTCTAACTTAAAGCAAATTTAGGATCGGGAGAGCATTCTGATAGATTATTTAGATCCAAGGAGCGATAAAGCAAAGTCTCCCACACCAGTTCACTAAGTTGTTTTCAACACATCCGTTTGACCCATAGAGGCGTCGCACGATGCGAAACTGCCAGATTCAAATCAACATATTTCAGCTCACAGCGAATTTTCTTAAATAAAACAAAAACCAATAGAATCAATTAATCTCTAGGCATAGGATAAAGCTCCCCATGGTTTACAACGTCGAAATTCTAGTTTTCTGAGGCGTATAACATCTGCTCTATCTACTTTCACAGAAGAAAATGTACAACAGGGACTTCGTCCAGCATAATTACACTGATGTACCACATGTTTCAAACTGCCGCTCCTCCGCATGAAATTAGGAAAAAAAAGTGGAACACCGCGTAATCAATTCGTGAAAGTTTCAACTCGAAGATGCTTAAATTTAACAAGTCAACATGTAAAAGCATTCTATGCGATTGATTCGGCAGCGAGAAACAATCTTTTCCACAAATCTATAACAAGCAGGACTCCAGAAGTATTCTAGCAACCAAGAAATTACCGTTGTCGAAAAACCCGCCTGACACAAGCAATTTAAAGGAGGACTGGCCACAGAGCACAGTTTGATGTTGGAGCATGTAGCTAGGGATAGTGGACATTGTGAAACATCCGTCAGATGATGTCTCTGGAAGTGTTTCGATTTTCTAGGCTTCTGTTCTTTTCACTTTCATTCTTCTTTGTCGTTTTTTAACCTTTCTATTTCCTCCTGCAAAATTCAAGTGTTGCTATGCGATCTAATGTCGCACAATAAGTTCTCATTTTTGATTCGCTTTGTTCAGATAGCAACACTAG